CCCCCCCCCCCATTTCTTTCTCGTTAGGTCTGACAGCAAGGAAGGGAGGGTGCGGCGAAGCCGAACAGTCAGTACTCGTTGATGAAGCTCTCTGCTTCTCTGCCTCCCTCCGACCCCTACGCCCCCTATCTCTGTCTGTCTCATCAGTGTAGCAACAGCAAGATAACTTGATATTTCGAACAGGTTTGGATACTTCCGGACAGTAGGATACGCTTTGTTTTCTCTGATGTCTTTGGGGGTTTTCCCTCCCCTACCCTCTGGCCACCGCCCAGCTTTTACGACTCGGAGGGCTTGGGCTTCCTTCGGGAGCAAGACCTGGAGAACTACGTGTACGATCACATACCCACCATGCCCGCCCTGCGCGCCATCCACGACAACTTCTACCCCTTTTACGTCTTCACGGCCGTGCGGCGCTTCATGTTCTTCCTCGACCCAAAGCGCACCGGTGTGTCTCGTGCGTGGGTATGAATTTTCAGCTGTTGTCTCGGAGAGCAGGAAGCGCCGTTCGAAAGTGAATTTTTTGGCTATGGACAGCAGGAAGTGCTATTCTCCGAAAGAGGGGGGTCGTGGGTGGCATGGCTCAGAAATTTTTCATCAGACGAACGCAGCAACAGCCAAACAACAGCAAAAATAAAAACGACACCACCACCAACATTTTTCCTCGTTCAACATGTTTTGGCAATGATGGCGGGGCTCACCAGCACCATGGTGGCCGCGCTTTTTGGAAAAGCGAAAGCAACCCTAAAAGACAGGCAGGCATGCTCCCCCATCGACTCAGATTTGGCAGATTTCGCTGACATGGACATGTTAGAGCGACGAGCATGTGTACCTGTTTTCGTCTCGAAAGAAAGACGAATTAGTCGCAAAGAACGGGCAGGTAGTTTGTATCCACAATTATTTTTCGGGTGGCGCCGCAGATTTATACCCTCCGGCTTGGTGGGGCTGCCGTATTGCACTAGATTTTCACAAGCTCGAAATCTACCATGTAGTTACTGTACATCACGTCCGAGTATAGCTTGCGCCAGCCATACATGTATCACTATCGCCGATCCCTTGACATTCGCCTTTGGTATTATATCTCCTCCCTCCACAATTGAACGAGCTTGGCGTTAGCAAATCCCCGTAAATTTTCAGCGCCTCCTTCCCTTCTTGTTTCTTTCTTGCGCCTGTCTCTCTGCGCCCACCCAAACCCTTTTCCCAGGCAAGATCTCCATCGACACCCTCGTGCGCAGCCGCGTCATGGAGGAGTTCCTGCAGGTCAGGATGGCGCCAGGGGAGCAGGGGGAACCAGGATCTGCAGCAGCAGCAGCAGCAACAGGAGCAGCATCAGAGAACGGCGGCACCAAAAAAGAAGACGCCGGAGCCGAAGGGGGAGGAGGAGGAGGGGTAGGGGGGACGGCGGATGGCAGCGAAGGCGGTGGTGGTAGTAGTACTGCTGCTGTTGGCGGTGTGGGCTCAACACTGTCCAGGGAGGGGGCTCCGCAGGGTGAGGGGGGCCGCGACGACACGGGGAATCACAGCCCGCTGCAGGACTTGAGCAAGAATTGGTTTTCGGCGGAGAGCACCTTGAGGGTCTACGGCGAGGTGGGTGGGTGGGTGGGTGGGGTGGGGGGGGGGGNAGCCTTTGAGGTTAGACCATTGACCACGCGTCCTTGAGAGGATGGAGCATTGTTCCCACAGGGCCGATCACCGATGGCCGATCGTTCCTCCCTACAGTACATTGCGAATGGGGAACTAGGGGGGCCAAAGAAAGGGTGTAGCTTGTGGATTGGCCGGAAACCGTCATCCCGCTGAGTGACGCAATGCATCCGCTGCTGTGATGAAGCATGCACGCCGATGAGCGTACTTATCTGGTTTTCCAGCTGCTCCCGATTTCATGCGAGCGGGGCGGGGGAGGGTGCAAGGGAGGTCTGTCGTGAGCGAGGAAAGGGGGGCGTGTCGTTTGTGTGTTTTTACGACTTGGCTGAAGCCGTTGGTAGGGTCGTGGTGTTGCAGTATTAGGTTTGACCTTTGGCCTTTCACCCGGTGGTCTTGTTGAGCGAAGCGTGGACCTCTTCGTAATCCCTGGATGCAGGGAATGCAAGCACTTGCCTCCCCCAAACCGTGCAAATATGAACGCCGCGACTTGTATGCCGCCCCTCTTGATTCCCTTTCCTCGTTCTCCTGCCCTCTCCCCTCCTGTGTTTTTGTAGAACATTATGTAATCTCTTGCGCTATGTTGAAACACCAGCAACGTAGTACATTTATCCTCCAAGATAACACCAAGGGTAAATCGGCGGTCGTCATCCTCTAGGCACAATATCACGTTTTGTTTTGACGGCACTAACGTCGATTCTGTGCCGGATCTGTGTCTGCCGACCCGTGCAGTATCTCGAGCTAGATGAGGACCAGAACGGGATGTTGTCCAAGCAAGAGCTCGTCAACTTCGGTGAGAATAGACCCTCACCCCCCACCCACTCCAGCTGTTGGCGTTGTACCCCCTGATGGAGGTGTTACAGAGAAGGGGGGGGGGAGTGTACTCATAGTCGTGCATGCCGTAGTCGTTAGACCATTGACCTCGCATCCCTACAACGCCGGGACGGAGCACGCCGGGTTCTCACCGGACCAGGCTCTCACATCACCGAGCGCGAAGCGCCGTGAGATATTCGGCGAGTCGCATGAAGGGTGCGCTGCATCCTGCTAAGGGTTTTCGGCATCTTGTGCTTACTTCCTTGCGTACGGATGACAGCTGCG